GACTTGTCTTTCCAGATTATTGGATTCATACAGCTGTAAGCCCTTTGCTTAACTAGGCTTGTGTAAATGGGATCAGTTCCTTGATCTGTTTGAAAAAGAATTTTTCAGCCTGCCACTAAGAGCCAAATCCTTCTTTTCTGCTCCTAAAGATATTTATAATTTGTTTGTTATTTATTAAAATTTGCCTGGCTGTAGAACTGTATCTTTTAAGTTTCAATTCACTTCACTCTTCACTGCATGCTCCATTCCCTTTGGGAAACTTTGTCTTCCTAAGTGATATATCCATGAGCTCACATTCTCATCTGAAGTTTATAAGACAACATGTTTAATATCATACACAATTTATTTTCCCATTTTCTTTATTAAGATACTTAGTGGACACAATGGGCGGTTGTGGATATACAAAGATGGCCACCAATCCCTCACACACTTGCATCTGTTTGATAACTTTGGTGATGAACTTCAGTTAACATTGTGGAAACTAATTTTAGGAAATGAATTAGCCCAAAAAATTAATGATGCTAAAAGATATTTTCTAAAGAAACTGATTTTTCTTCTTCTTCTTCTTCTTCTCCTCCTCCTCCTCCTCCTCCTTCTCCTTCTAGTTGGAGTCTCATTCTATCGTCCAGCCTGCAATTCCATGATCAACAAGTGAATAAACAAATCACAGTATATTCAAACAATAAAATATTACTCCACAATAAAAATGAACAAAATACTGTTAGATATAACACTATGAATAAATTTCAAAATCATTACTTAACTGCTGGGCTCAGGTGATCCTTCTGCGGCAGCCATCCAAGTAGCTGGGACTACAGGCGCACACCACCATGGCTTGCTAAGTTTTTATTTCTTGTGGTGACAAGGTCTTGCCATGTTATTCAGGCTGGTCTTGAACTCCTGGGCTCAGGCAATCTTCATGCCTTAGCCTCCCAAAGTGTTAGGATTACAGGCATCAGCCACCACCCCTGGCTAAGAACCTGAATTTAAAAAAAATTTATTTTAATAACTTTAAGGGGTACACATGGTTTTTTTGTTACACGGATACATTGTATACTTGTGAAGAGGTCTGGGCTTTAAGTGTACCCTCCATCCCCACCTGTGCGCATTGTACCCAGAAGGTAATTTTTTGTCCCTCTCCCCCTTCTGAGTCTCCAATGTCCATTATACTGTTTTATATATCTTTGCAGTTCCTTAGTTTAGCTCCTACTAATAAGTAAGAATAAGTTGTGCTTGGTTTTCTGAAGAAACTGTTTTTTTTTTGCAATGTAACTAATATGCAAAAACAGCACACCATGACTATTCCAGCTTTGATAATTGTTAAAAGACTTTGGTCAGATGGTCTTTTTAAATACACACAAAACATCAGACATTTATTTATTCATTTTAGAGACAAGGTCTTGCTATGTTGCTTAGGCTGGTCTTGAATTTCTGGGCTCAAGCCATCTTCCTGCCTTGGCCTCCCAAAGCATTGAAATTGCAAGCATGAGCCACAATGCCTGGCTTAAAAATGTGTAATATGTGTTAGTTTCTCATCTCTACACTATATATCCTTTGGTGATCAGCCTCTTAGAGGTATATAGGAGTGGAGCATGTTTTTTTAAAAGTTTTTTTAATGAACACCTACCCACTTAAAAAGCTCTTTTCTCTTTACTTCTACATATCTTGTTTTTCTAGCCTTTACTTCGGGTACCTTCTTTCTCACTTTAACTTCCTGTGGTGCCTCTCTGTCAGAAGTCTTTGTTTCCTGGTAACCTGGAGATTGGTAACAATAGTAAACTACTAGTAATGCTGAGTACTGGGTCAGAATCCTGGCTAGACTTGTTTTAGTTGGGAGGAGAGACGGGCATGATTATATGGTTTGGCTAGTTAATTGAGTTACACCAATGAAATAGAACATATTTTGTTCAGTTTACTATGCCTTTATAGTGGGCATCCTTGTTTTACATGACATGGAAGAAGGTATATCTCTCTAATTCTTTCTCATTCTCATTTATTTCAGTGAAATAAAAATGCACAAACATTTGAGAGATAGGGATTTGTTACTACAGGACCTGCCTGAGTTTTGAAGGCAGATGGTGGCGCCAGTAATCACTTATGATGCTGCAGCAGATGAAAATTGATATCTTGTGGTTATGATTATATTGCTTTTCTTTTGGTGTTATAACAATTATCAAAAATTAGTGGCTTAAAACAGCACAAACTTATAGTTTTCATGGCTGGAAGCCTTAGAATCAAGGTGTTGGCAGGATTGTGTTCCTTCTGAAGGCTCTAGGGGAGAACCTGTTCCTCACCTTTCTAACTCCTAGAGGATGCTATACCCTTTGGCTTGTGGCTCTCTTCCATCTTCAAAATTAGCATTCACATCACTCTGACCTCTGCTCCTGATGTCACATCTCCTTTCACTCTGAGACCCTAGGGCAACCCATATAACTAAAGAAAATCTCCCCAGCTCAGGACCCTTAACTTAATCATATCTGCAAATGTACTTTGTCATGCAGGGTCACATATTGGCTGGTTTTGGAGATTAGGATGTGGACATATTTGGGAATCCATTATGTTTCCCACCACATACGTGTTCTACAATTTGCTTCTTGCTTTTTACCGCTATCGATATCCATCTTAGGCAAATTGAAGTCAGCTGAGCTATCTTATTGTTAGTACTATTTTTACCCTTTTTGAATCCTCCACAAAGGAACCAAAATAACAACTGTGCTCTTATAAATCTACAGAACAACGTGGAATCAGACCCCCAGAGCTTTATGGACCCGCACATTCTCTGTACTTGACGTTGTACAGAGAATCTACTGGGTTTTGAAATCTTAGTGCTAATGGATGCTACATTTCTGAGGTATTGTGCCCACCAAAGACATAAAGCAAATCTAATCCTCTGGGTAAAGGTCTTAAATCCACAAAATTCCAACTCTATCTCTCTACTAAGATCTGATAGTTCTGAGAACTTGCAAGAGTTGAGTTGTTAATGTACCTTCTCATGGTCAATTTCCACAAGCCGAGCTGTAGAAAACAGCGTCATCCAAATTAAATGTATAACCTACTATTAGCATCAGTCAGGACACAAAATGGCTCTTCTACTAAAATTTTAAGAGTAGAACCTTGTCCAAAAAAAAAAAAATTCCCTTTGTACGTAGAGAAGCCAGTGTGGAGAGTGTGAGGGGGAAAATGAGCATTGAGGCTGCTGAGATGGCAGACACCAGTGGTGGAGGTGGGGGAGGGAGGGTTGTAAGACATTCATTCTCCATCCTAAGGACAAGGAGAAGTATTGAAGGACCCTAGGTAGATGAGGAAAGAAGGGCAAGGGAGAAGTCAGGACTGATTGTTGAGTATTTTGGCTTGGGGACACTTGATGGATGGCAGCTCCATTAGCAATTTGTTATATGGGTCTGAGGTTCAGGAGAGAGGTTTAGGCTTTTGATATGGATTTATGACTCACCAGTGTAATGGCAGCCATTGGGAACCCTATTGGGAAGAGATTGCAGAGTTAGAAGATAAGATGGCATAAGACAGCCCAACACTCAGAGGATAGGCATAGGAAAAGCCTGCCAAAGAGACTAAGGAATGGTTGGAGACATAAATGGAAAATCAGGGAGAGTTGATATATTGAAACATTTGTACCCATTCCTTGGGTTCTATCTTTAGAAACATGTTTCATCCCAATTAAATGTGAATTGAAAATTACTTCTTTATATATAAAAGACAGAAAGTAATTCCTCACTTGCATCACAGGGTTATGAGGTTTAGATGAAAAAGTGTATATGAAAATATTGTGGGAAGTATTAACACCCATGTGTCAAACTATAGTACGCATCAAAATCATTTAGGGGACTCGGTGAAACACGGATTGCTTTGTTTCTGATTTCAATCGTGGTAGTAGCAGTTGCTGATTCAGAAGATCCGGAGTTGGACCCTTGAATCTGAATGTTGATAGGTTTTCAGGTGATGTTCATGTTACTGGTCTAGGGCCATCTTTTGAGATCCACTTGCAATACATATGTATGGAATGTTGGCTTTGGTTTTATAAAATTCGCCCAGTTTTCTCTGATGTTATGTTTCATCCCCTAATGATTTGTTTCTTTCCCACGCCTCATTTAGGCATGTGAAAGATCAGCTTAGTGCCATTTTGTTGATTGTTTACAATAGTGAGACTTGAGGTTAGCTCGATTAAAAAAGATAGGAAAAATATATTTTATTTTACAGGGAGCAGGAGGTAAGAAGGAGTTCTTTGGAGTAAGAAGTGGGATTTCTGTTTTCCCTAAAGCCAATTAGATGTACAATGCTACTTGTTTCCAATCTTCACAAATCCCATTAGAGACCTTGTAATTTGATCCAGAGAGAACAACATAGGGAGAGTCAGGTAAGAAGAAAAATGGACTTCATTCTTCAGCCTTTCCTAAATCCTGAGTAATGTGTGTACCTCAATACTCCCTTTCCCAATCCGACAAAACAGAGAATCAGGAAAACACATTAGCGCCCTAGCACAGACTAGGAATACAGAGCTGGGAGGAGACAGCACCATCAAGACAGAAGGAAACTAGGGGAGGGGAAAGAAAAATTCCCCCCGTTGGAGAATCTGTCGCGCGGCCGTGGGAAGGGAAGTGGGGAAATGCACCTCAGACGTCAGCCAGACACTTTGCCTCTGGGCATGTGGGAAAGTGAGGGAGGAGGGAAAAACGCAGCACGAGAGCTAGGTACAAGAGCCTCTGCAGGGGCTTTTCAGTGAGGATCCGGAGAGAGACAGCGTTCGGGCTCACTTCTTCCCTCCCGGAGGCCACGTCTCCATCTTTAAGTGGGATAAAGAGGGTGCGCCGGGCTGAGTCAGTCGAAGCCGAAGTTATCGTCTTCTGCGCCGCAGGCCCCGCTTCGGCCCCCGGCCCAGGCCGGAGAGGTGGCCTTCGGGGACGCTGAAGTTACTCTGCACAGGGAGGAGGGGTCGCCAAACTGCTCTCCAATCCCGGCGGCCGCTTCAGCTATTTGCATACATTATGCTAATAACAGACCTCCCGCTCCGCTCCCACCCAGGCTCCCCGCCCCAGTCGGGGTCCCCCTGGCGAGCGCGCGGGCTGGGCCTAGGTGAATATATTATGGTAATGAGGCGGGCTCCTGCTCGGGCTCTGGGAGGGGG